TCAGCCCCTGCACTCAGCCTGGCCTGCCGCACACACAGCAAGGCCTGTTTGCATTCACCTGCCCCGCCCTGAGTCTCTGCAGAGGCTTGGCCTGCCCTTGAGTTCCCGGCACTCACACCTACCTGGCACGTAAGGGACCTTAATATTTATTGAACAAACAAGTAAGCCGGAAATGCCAACTCAAATAAATACAAAAGATTCCCATTGTCCCATGGATTAATTTAGAATAACATGATTCTGCAATTTTATCTGTAGCTTATCCATATTTTAACAGAAGTAACATTTATCCCCAAAAAATTTGGAGTGAAATTGATGTCCCACGTATCTCCCATAGCTTCATGTGCCTCATGGCTTGGGGCCAAGGCAGTCACAGTGGCTGTAAGAACAGGATCCCATCGAGGTTGCCGGTTTCACAGCCAGACTCCTCCACTTTTAAGCTTGGTGACCGCGGGAAAATCGCTGGGCGTCTCTTTACTAATCTGTAAAATGGAGCAAGGAGAATCTTGACCTCGAGGAGTTATTATGAGAGCAGAAGGGTTGATACGAAATGTTAGATGTGGCAGTCAGACAGTGACGGGAACATGACAGCCCTGTCAATGCCACACAGGTGTCCAGAGCAAGAGGTAGGAGCAGGTACCCACTGCCCGGTCACCAACCTTAGAGTCTCCTGAAATTAAATTCTCTAGAAATTTGGAGCCAGGAGACTCAAGGTCTCGGAGAATCCAGTTACCTGCAGAAACAGGCCACTTCCAGGTCCTCTAAGGTACACAAAAGCCCTTGAACCTGGGCCTCGGCTGGCCTGCTGCCCTGGCAACATCTCCCCTCTCCCTAGGGCTTCCCAAGACAAACACAAATTCCAGCTGAGCATGGAGAAGGAGGAGAAAGCCAAGAACGCCACCCAGAAGTGTGACATCTCTGTGCAGATTGAGCCCATGCACCCCAGTGTTTTCCTGAGCAGTCAAGAGGTAAGTCCTCCATGGATCCCGGCCCCCGGCCGCACTTGCTCCCAAGAGCCCGGTGGTGGCTTCCTTCCCTTTGAAAATAGGTTCATTCTAAGTGTCAAAAGTAAGGCCTGCCTGTGTGGAATGTAGGAAGTGAAAACCCAGAATCTGCCCTGCAGTTGCAGTCACCTGAGGCTGGAAGCCATCAGCTCTTCCCCACGGGGGCCACCACACCCTCATAAGTCATGAACCTGGAGTGGTTGAAGGTCAAGCCTGGATCCAGTCCGCTGGGGCTCCAATCCCCAATCCCCCACTTAGAAACTGACCTTGGGGAGGTCACTGGGCTCCAGGTGCCTTGTCTGGGAGTAATGACAGTCCCCACCTCCTGGAGAGGTTGAGAAATAGATTTTACTTATACACATGTGTGAATACACGCACAAACCCTTACATACGTAAACTTATTTAGTAGATGATTTTTTTTTTGCCAATGGTATCAGACCATATATATTCTGCAGCTTTTTTATTTTCACATAACACTGTTTAATGGGCATATTTTCAAGAAAGTATATAAGTTTCCGCCTCATAGAATTCCATTTTGCCCCTTTTTCCAACCAATCCCCAGCTAATGGATATTTAGGTTGCTTCTTTCACATGATGCTCTAGTTAGAGTACTCGTGCGTGTGTAGAGCACATTCCTAGATGTGCAACTGCTGGATCCAAAGGACTTCCTCAATTGTGCTTCATAGAACCAAACGGTCTTCCCAAAGAGCCACTCAATTAACGCCCCCGGCTGTCTCTTGATAAACCCTCTGTGCACAAGCACCCAGGCATCTTTGCCAGCCTGCGAGTCTCAGCTGCACATCCAGTGGGGAGTGAGTCTTTGAGTGACAGCAGCCTGCATCCGGTGGTCCCTGAAGCTGGCCCTCACTCTGACCCTGAGGCTGGTGCGGGGTCGTCTCCCTGGTGGTCAGGTGCCAAGGTTCCTGGAAGCCCTGGCTTCCTGGAGTCCACTCGTCCTCTCCCCGAGGCTTTATAAAACCAGAGAGCAGGCTGTGGACTGTCCCTTGGAAATGGGGCCAAATGTGCCAGCAAAGATGCTCTCCCCTGCCAGGCATCAAGAGCCCAAGCACCCAGCCATTCCTTCAGTCAACAACTGTTGAGCACCTGCTGTATGCCAGGCCCTGAGCCAGAGACAGGGAAATGCACACAGGGTCCCGGTGCACACCAGGCTCCCCGGACTCTGCCTGTGTTTGCTGGGCTGCGGGGCTGGCGGCGATGTCTGGGATTTTGGGTCTCCAGCGTGAGGCAGGATGAGCCTAGGAGGGCAGGGGAGGGACTCTGCAAGATAAAAGGGGGAAAGTATTTGTTCTTCTTGGAATGGTTTCCCTCTCCCCGCTACTTCCTGTTTCCGAAGCCAGAGCAGGTCAGAGGGCTCCAGGGTTGTATGAGAAAGAACCTCTTTCCGCTCTCAATATAGAAGTTCCCAGAAGAGCCATGAGGGAGCGTCACGTGGTGCTCTGACCCACCTCAGGCCAGCAGAGGTGGTAGCCGTCTATTGCCACCGCTGTCCCTTGGCCCCCAGCTCAGCACTCCTGCCCTCCTCAGTGCAGGAAGGGACAGATCACCGGAGGTCACTGACTCCCAGGAAACCCACTGTCCCAGAGAGGAGTGAGGCCTGAGTCAGGCCCAGGAAGTGGACCCATGGGGCGGCCCATAAACAAGCCAGAGCTGGCCCAAGGACAGCCAGGTGGCCCTGGTGGAGTGGCCCTGCCCTCAGTGCCAGGCAGAGACGCTGGGCAAGGGCCTTCCTGCTCCTGCTCTGGCCTCGGTGCACTCGGGCTGCTCAGCCCCAAGGGCCACGGTCTCCACAGGGGACAGACTTGGCTCTCACGGAGCCTACGGGCCAGGAAGGGACAGACGGAAAGAAACAACACTGAGTAGGATGTCCGGCAGGACCATGCGCCCTGAGGAACCGCACGGCAGGACTGGGGCAGAGAGCATCGAGGTGGGGGGGGGGCTCTTTTGGATCCAGTGGTCAGGGAGGCCTCTGCAGGACGCATCTTGTTGGGGCCTAATAAGACGGTGAAGGAGTAAGTGGCAGGGACAGGGTTGGGGACATTCCCAAGAGACCTCAGATGGTGCCACTGAGCAACTTGAAGGAGACTCAGACCTTGAACCCCGAAGGCCAGAGCAGCCAGCGCGGGGCCCGGCATGTCACATAGACCCTTAATAGGCAGAGTCATGGCAGGAAGAGGAACAGACGAAGGTCTCCCTCCCTCTCCCCCAGCCCTGCTGGGTCTCACGGTAGCACTGCTCACTTGCTGGAATTAGAGTACTCACATGTCTGTCATCCGTCTGCCCCAGAGACAGTCTGTCTGTCCGCTTCTCAGTCTCACTCAGTGCCTACAGAGGGGCTGGCATGAGGTCAAGGCAGTAGGGGGGTAGGTAGGAGGAAAGGTAGGAAGACAGACAGGTAATGAGAGGTTGATAGACACGTATCTGAATAAAGGAATCGAGGCAGATGATAGATAGAAATATCTGCCTATCATTTTTAAATAATTTTGGTTCACTTCATACTATATATGGCATCTCCTATATCTTTATTTGTAGTATGAAATAAACTAAGATTGCTATTTTAAAAATAGTTATAAAACAACCAGATTGTCAATTTCTTACCAATTTGGATGAGGCCTTCCATACAAGTCATCTACAGCTGAAAACTGTCCCCAACATCCATTCCTATGTCCCCACTTAATTATCCGGTTAACATTTATCACTGCCCACCACATATTTTCCTTCCTTATCTTCCTCGTGGTCTGTCTCCCCACATTAGGATGCTAAATCCCTGGTGGCAGGCTGCCAGTTGTGTCACTGCTGAATCTTGAAAGACTAGAACAAGTCTTGGCACTCAGAAGTGCTCAAAAAAAAAAAAAAAAAAAAAGCATGGAATGAAGGGAGGAAGGAATAATGAGTGAATTGCCCCCTTAGGGGAGCGCTGAGTGGACTCTATGACAGCTTTGGGGAGGGGGGTCCTTGACCTCTGGAAGTTGCATGCAGATGTTTGTGTGTAGGGGACATTTTTCTGGAGGAAAGAACCCTGCATCTTTCTGAATCTTAAAAGGAGGCATGACCCTTACAGGACAAAGAAGACCCTTCTTTGTCTGATCCCTAAGTAAACCCAGCCACAGCCCCAAGCTGTCTGACAGGGTCCATCTGTGGCCAGTGGCCGCCATATTGGAGGGTGAGGGCGTAGAACATTTCTGTCACCACAGGAAGTCCTGTTGGAGGTGCTGTCCCAGAGAGACCCACCAAGAGTCAGTCTGTCAGATGCCCCTGGCCGATAGGAGACAACCATCCAGTTTATGTCCAGTTTAAGAGAGAGCATGTTGTGTTCTCAACTAAAACTACCACTCTGAGGCTGGGGTGCCGTTCAGTGGTAGAGCAAGGGATTAGCACACGAGAGGCCCTGGGTTCCATCCCCAGCACTGCAAAAAACAAAAAAGGTAAAAACAAAACGCCCCTGCAGAAGCAGACCTTGGTACAATGGTACAGAAACAAGATCAGAATGATAACGAACAGAAACCCAGGCCTAGAGCATGGAAGAGAAGAAATAAAACATGGGGAAGGAGAATAGAGGGGATCTTTTATTTATAGCGTCGCTAAGTAGGCAGGAAAGTCGGAAATCCTCCTAGATGTGACGGGTATTTGCAATGAAAAATTCACATTCCTTCTCTGCTGATCTCCGATGGTATTTCCCCAAAGTACTAAGCCACAGGCTCCTGCTGCACGGGCAGCGCCCACGTGTCTGTGCTGTCAGGTCCTCCGATCCCTAACCAAGCCCCTGTCTGCACTGTCTGTCCCCCAGGAGCAGTCTTTCAGTGACCTGGGGGCCAAGTGCAGAGGGTCCCAACACGAGGAAGTCATTCAGCGACAGAAAAAGGCCCTGTCAGAACTCCGAGCGCGAATCAAAGAACTCGAGAAGGCCTGCTCTTCCAGTAAGTCCCCTCCGCGCTAGTCCCTGCCACCTCCCAACTGGAAGGACCTTATAACACAAAGACAGATGGGCTGGCCGTGACCACAGAATCAAGGGCAGGGCTTCGTATGAAATAAATAGGACATCATGAAAACTCACCCGTGTCCTCCTTCTCCTTATTTCACTGTGGCCGGGAGGAGACTTTGTCATGGACGTCACTACCTGAGGGTCAGCGTCGGGGAATCTCTTAGCAGACCCCATTCACAGGAGAAGGGGCCGTCTCCAGACTGGGAGCTTACGGTCCCGCGGGGCACCAGGGTGGCTCAGGCCTGAAGCCCCAGGTCCAGCCCGTCCTGGTCCCTGTGTCTGGAAGCTCGCCCTTGAGGCCTCAGCCCTGACACCTGTGTGGCTGCCGCCACCTGGTGCTGCTGCGCGGCTGGGTCCGGCCACGTGATCTCTCTAGGCCTCAGTGTCCCCATCTGCTGGGGAGGTCGTGAGGACTCGCAGCCCGTGGTAAGTGTCCCGCAGACCGCAGCAGTGGGGATTCGCTGGAGGAGCCCCGTCCTGAGCCTGCTGCATTCTTTCTCTTCTAGATTGTAAGGACCACCTGAACGAATCGTTCCTGGAACTAAAGACGCTCAGAATGGAGAAAAACGTCCAGAAAATAATAGTGGACACAAAATCCGACCTGCCAACTCCCTCCAGAATAGAGATCCACGCGGTAACCAAAGAAACCTTGTCTCCGCAGTGAAGGGGCACGCGAAGAGGGTGGGCGTGAGGGCAGACACGGGCCCTCGGCCGCCAGGTCCCGCTCAGTGGGCCACTTCGTAACATTATGACCCGAGTTTGCCTCAGGTCTCCTCTCCCTGTCAACTATAAATGTAAGAGGTAGCAGCAGGGAAGAGTGATGAGACTCAAGTTCAGGGGTCAGAGGGAACCATGTCCAAATCCCAGCCTGAAAGCTGGGTGGCCTTGGGCAAGGCTCTTGAGATTGTATTTCCCAGCTGCCGAATGATGATGAAAATCCAAGGAGTTCTTTCTGTCCAGTGCCCAGCTCACAGTGCCCATTTATCAAATGACAGCTGTCGTCACTGTTCAATGTTAGTTAAATAGTCGTGTTCCAGGAAACCCGCCCTCTGAAAGGGGTACAGGCCTGGTGGCCAGGATTTTCAGAGGTGGTTTGAAGGTGCCCTTGTACCCCACGTAGCTGTTTGACTGGGCACCATGGGCACATGACAACGGGCAGCAAGGTCACCGTCAACCACAAGACCTTCTGAGTGGCCGCCTGCTGCACAGTTGGGTCTGAACCCCACACAGGCTTCTGGAAGAAGTAATGAGGCCATCCTGTCTGGGCCGACATTCCGTCCAGAGATTTTTGCGGACATTTCCTAGAGGCCAGGATGAATGTCTTTGGAAATGAATTGGTTTTCTTGATGAAATCAAACCCTCCTTCTCCGAGTTTGGGCCTGGAGGTCAACTAGACCTCAAAGCCTGACCCTACTTCCCAGAGTGACCTTGCCCTTGGAGGTGACCCCCAGGCCCACTCCTGACACCACACAGCAGAAACCTCCCCACTCTCCTGGAGAACCCCAGTCCTCCAAGGCAGGCAGTGATTAAAATGAAAACACGGAGGACGCACAGCTGACGATGCCCAGGGCTCCGACCACGGGCGTTACCCCGCCCACCCCTCCCGGCAGCCTGGGCACCGATGTTGTTATTGTTCCCATTTTGGAGATATGAAAAATTCAGGCTTCTGAAGGTCAAGTAGCTCATGCAAGGTCCCAGAGGTAAAGACCTTTTGGGTTCTCTCTGCAGCCAATCTGCTCCAACTGTTGAATGAACGGACAAAGGTTCCATAGCTCTGCCAAGACCCTCTTTTTTCTCACCCCAGTAACTATGTCCACTTGACGTAGGTAAATATGTCCCTCCTGTCACTGTCACGTTTGGCCTTTCTCCTTTATAGTGGGGGTTTCCATTGTTCATCTCGGAGGGTGACAGGGCGGTGCAGCAGAGGCTGTGGGTGAAATGTCCGTGATGTTCCTAGCAACCACTGCAGGCCCATCTGGTTCTGAGGACCTTGAGGGTGGCCGTTGGTGGCTCTCCAGACTCCCCATGTGGCATGATGGCTTCCCCATTGCTTTGGGGGAGGGGCTTTCAGCAGCCTGCAGTTACGGGGGTCTCAGCCAGTGTGTCATCCCAGGAAAGAGCCTGCAGGGAGCCTGGGCCACCAGCCACACACTCCACCAGGACAGCCCTTGCCCATGCTTTCCGAAGGCCGCGCTTCTGCTGCATGAAACGATTGCTCTCATAAAAGGAGAGGGGACATGTTCTATGTAACCTTCATCCATTCATTCAACAGTTGTGCCCATACCAGGCCACTCGGTGTCAGGGGCCACCCTAGGCCCAAGGAGTTTAGTGAGCAGAGACATGGTCCCTGTAGCGCTTGTTGTCCAGATGGGGACCCTGGACCTCAGCACCACTGATATTTGGGGCAGATCATTCCTGCCCAGTCTGTGAGGGGCTGACCAGCATCTGGCAGGATGTGTAGGGACATCGCTACCCTCTTCCCGCTAGATGCCAGTAGCACTCCCCCTCCTCAGACGTGACGGCAAAAAGGGTGTCCAGACATTGCTGAATGTCCCAGGGGAAGGGACAGAGTCACGCCCACCGCGAGCCCTTGTTCTAGAGGGAAGACAGAGCCATCAGAGCAGAGGAGCCGTGTATAACACATTGCACAGCCTTCTCTGAGGGTCGGAGCACGGTCCTCTTTAGAAAGCAGTGGCCAGGAGTTCAGACTGAGTGGCCAGGAACCGAAATGAGGGTCGCCTCCTGAGTTTCGCTCCTGTCATCCCTGAGCGCAGCTTCCGGCTGGAGACTCCCATGATGGAGGGTGGAGCGGTCGTCTCTCTCTCTCCTTCCAGGACAGCCTTTCCAACTCAGACACCAGCTCCGCCCTGGAGAAGTCAGACAAGACGGATGTCACCGAGGCTTTGGATCTCAGTGAAAGACTGGTGTGTACCCACAGCTCGGGGGCCCCTCCCAAAACCTGGGCCCTGGGGTCACTGTGAACCCGTGGTCATTCTAAAACGCCACGAGGCCTGTCTGTCACCCCAATGCGGTTCAGAAACCGCCCAGTCCAACGCCTCGAGAGCCAGCAAAGCCTGGGGAGGTCCCAAAAAGGCCTAGCGTGAGTGGCTGCGGGGCCAACGAAGCCGCTTTCCGTCTGCAGAGGCAGAGGGTGGCCCAGCAGACTGGACACTTGCCTTCTGGGAGCAACTGGGGCCAAGGCAACCCCCCTGAGGCCCCTTGGCTTTCCTTGCAGTACCTGGACATGAGCAGGACTCTGGGAAGCCTGATGAACATCAAAGACATGTCGGGTCACGTGTCCATGAAACACCTGTCGGCCAAAGAGAGGGAGAAGGTCAACCAGCTGCGACAAAGGGACCTGGACCTGGTGTTTGACAAGATCACCCAGCTCAAGACCCGGCTGCAGAGGAAAGAGGAGCTGCTGAAAGGTTACGAGCAGGACGTGGAGCGGCTCAGGTACCGCCTGGCCCCCTCCAGCCGAGCACAGGCAGCAGACCCCTGGGGCTGGCACAGGACAGAGGCCTGAGAGGAGAGTGGCTGAAATGCTGGGGGGACAAGAGCCAGGCCCAGCGGGGTGAGTCTGTCCATCAAGAGGCTGCAGTTGGAGCGCTCGGCTCCTGTGTTCCATGCGCCCTGAGGGCAGAGGGCACCTGCTGTCAGCCTCCTGACTCACTGGTCTGGCTCTGATCGTTCCATCCGTCCCCAAGAGTTGCGTGTCCCAGGGAAGTTGGGAGTGGGGAGCACAGCCTGGACCACCCCAGGCTGCATGCGTCCAGCCCAGGAGCTGTGTGTGCTGCCTCTGCTCCCCAAGTCCCTGTGCTGTCTCAGGCTTGGGAGGAAGCTCCTAAGTCAGCCCCATGGGCGAGCACTGGGAGGGGCTGCTGATCTGAGGACATGGACAAGGAGTGGGGACGATGAGGGGAACAAGGGACCCTGTCTGTCTCTCCATGTGCCCAGGCAGAGCAAAGTGTCCGTCCAGATGTACCAGTCACAGGTAGCCAAGCTGGAGGACGACATCTACAAAGAGACGGAGGAGAAGGCCCTGCTGAAGGAGGCCCTGGAGCGCACGGAGCACCAGCTGAGCCAGGAGAAGAGGTTCAACAGGGCCATCCGGCAGCAGAAGGTGGGTGGAGCCCCCGAGGCTGACCCCCAGCCCCCTTAGAAATGGCAGACGGTGGCCCCAGGAGGGTCCAGGGCATGCACAACACATTCACTGGTGGAAAGGAAGGTGGCAGAAGAGCTATAGACAGACCTTGGTTTAGAGCAGAGCTCGGCCACTCCCTGGGCACTGGGCCAGCTCTTCTCAGTGGAGCCTCGCTCTGCGGCCAGGCCAGGCCAGGGCTCTGCCTGTGGTGTGCATTCACCATCCACTTCACTCCCGAGCCCAACAGTCCTGCCTGGCTGGTCCGAGGGTCTCTGTTTTACACATGGGGCAGCTGAGTGCAGAGAGTTGAGACTCGCCCAAGTTCACGCAGGAGCCAGGACCTGGCTGCAGATGACCCTGGCCCTGGCTCCTGTGCCCTGTGCTGGGCGGGCCTCCAGGGCCCCCTGGTAATTGTTAGCTTTTTCACTTTAGAACCGTGTGCGAGCGCACGTGCGCATGTGTGTGTGTGTGTTTGTGTGTGCGTGTGTGTGTGCGTGCACGTGCACACTGTGTGTCACCTGCTTGAGCTCTGAAGAGGCTGGCTCCCCTAGAAGGCCCCCCCTTCCTATCCCAGCATCTGGTGCAGATGCAGCTCCCAGAAGCCCCCTCCCACTCTGCAAAGCGGCCTGGGAAGGAAAGCTCTGAGGGAGCCCAGACCCGCTGTCTCCAGCATCCCCTGCTCTGAATTAAACATCACAGGCTTCCACACTCGCGTCACGGGGCTTCCTCAGGCGGAAGACAGTGTCCTTTTGCACCGAGCCTGCCAGCAAAGCTGGGCAGCGCCACGGTCTGACATGTGGTTCCATGTGCCCTCTGGGGAGCCCGCTCCTTCCCGGGGGTGCCCCCCAGGGTTGGCAGCCCGGCCCCCAGGCAGAGACAGCAGCCACAGAACAAGACAGCAAAGGGCCCCACCAAGCCCATTGTGGTGCGTGGGCGGAGTGCAGGGACAGGGGATTTGCATAATCAGCGCGCATGCATTATTCACAAGGCCTCTTCCACACAATCAGCCCTGCCAGCCTGGCACCGGCCAGCCTCCCACGGCGGAAGGTCTGAACTGGCCAAGTGAAACCTGTGTCACCCCAGAAGAGCGCAAGCTGGGGATCTCCCTGCACAGAATCCACAGTGCAGGGCGATGGGACAGGAAAGGCTGCCCTGTCCCTCCCAGGGCACTCACATCAATCTAGAGAGGCCTCAAGCCACCCCTCAGAGAGGAGAAACTGAGGCCATGAGATCATGCCTGTCT